ACAAACAAACAAACAAACAAAAAAAAGCTAATCTGTCTGATCATGTGACAGTACCTGGCAATGTATTAATAATAGCATGAATCTCTCTAATAGATCAAATCAGGTTAAAAAAGACACCACCAGAAACAATTAAATCTTCACTCTCACATCTGCCCTTTGAGAACAGTAAGAAATGATGTTTATCTTGTAAGTAACAATGACATAAACCACATAAAACAGGACTGTAATTTTTATACGCTGTTACTCTAACATTTTGCAATATTCTACTCTGTAGTTATACTGTCTAGATGACATACAGAGGACAAGGAATATAGTACAAGATTCTTGGAGATTCCTAGTATTCTATTTTGAATCTTACATCTGCTTCAAAAGCAAGCACCAAAAACACATCAAAAGAAGCAGAATTTTCAATTTAATAAAAATGGTTAAAATGATACCTTCATATGTCTTTGGAGGTAATAAAGCCAATATATCATAAAGTCTTAAACGGACCATAGCTGCACTAGCTTTGAGGTGAGCTCCATGGGCTTTAATCACTGATGGAATGCTAGAGAATCAAGAGAGACAGCCAGAAATACTGCAGTTACTGAAAAGAGTATTTTCAGATTACTTTTCACAAGACATGTGTGCTTCTCTACCCAAGACAAGAAAACAGTGTTCAGAGAACTACTCTGAGCAGCATTACTCAAATTATCAATACATTTGCAGAGGTAATCGTACTGAGCAAACTTTGTTTTTTTAAAAAACACACATTGCTGTAAATCAGAGACGTACCTCCCCAAAAGAAACTCCTACCTGTAACTGGGTAGGGGGGGCAGGTGACACACAGACTGACCAAACCACAAAACCCAACACAAACCTGTTTCCCTTTTATTCTGTAAAACGTTTAAAGTCTTTTCATTAGTACCTTTCGTAAGAGGAAAGTTTACTGATTAACATCTAGTATACCAGTATCTTAGTTTTCTCATTTCTTGCACAAGCATAAGCAAACCATGAATTCAAAAGCTCCAAAACACAGTTAACATAAGTTACCACGGCCAGCCCTTCAGCACAGGCTATACTTTCACAAAGCTAAGGACCACAAACTCATGCAAAGCTATAATGTTCATAAAAGTTTTCTTCAACATGGACGAGCAGTGGCAGTGGTACTAACAGTTAGCAGTTAGTGTTACTAACCAGGTCAGAATATGAATTAAAACAAATTAGTTCTAGTATTTCAGGTCCAGGAAAAGACAAAACTGAATAAAGAGCAAAAACTGCCTACTTACTGCGACATCATCGTCATGGCACATTCTATGGGCGTCATCAATTTCCTGATCACATCCTCAGTAAGGAGCTCAGGACAGTGAGCAACAAAACTTCTCATAGCTAATAACAAAATGGTTTAAATTAAAATTTTCCTGAGACAAACAAATATAAAGCATAAGCAAGATACAGATGCTAAGAAAACATCAAAAGCAGCAATTAAAATTTTTATTCAAAGACTGTGTGACATGTTCATAAAACTATATGCCAAAAGTAGGTCGCATTGAAGAAAATCTGACACATTCATTTTCAAAGAAAGCAGGGAAGTCACAAGAGTTGTCTCTATAATATTTGGGATCATGTTTTGGTCTACTGCACACTTGTAATCTCAACGTGTGAAATTCTTACCGCACAGAGCTCCAGCCCGGCCTTCCAGCGTTACTTGCCAGGTAAAAGAATCTCCTCTCGCCTTCTCTGCTTCCAGCTCCTTCAGAGAACGTGGAAACACGTTTCGCCATAGCAGCAACATCTTAGGCAGATGATACCGCACAACAGAAGGACCTATGCAAAAAACCAAAGTGACGGTATAATAAAAATTTGTATTTAATTGTGACAAATCTGCCACGAAGGTTTCTGCTCTTCAAGCTATTTTTCTCTTACTTCACTTCTCTCTCTTTTCTCCCTACTTGAACAATGAAACCCAAAGGAAATTCTTTTTCCTTTCTAGGTTGAAGGTGTGGCAAACAAGTAGTATAATTAAGTCTGTTTGTTGATATTGGTACTAAAAACAGGAAATAGGCCATTCTATACATTGTCAAGTAATATGTAACCACTGCCAACTTTTGACTATCTTTTTATTCTGACTTCTACTTTTTTTTATATTACTATTTCGAAGGCAAGCTCTTTAGCCTATCCTAACTTGTTCATAAAATGAGCAGAAAAGTAACTGACAGTTACTGATTACATAACTAGTTTAATGGTCAAATTTAAAGAAAGTTTCTGAAAAAGCTGCAGAAGATCCAGTGCAAACACGTTAAAAATATATTGCAGAAGGACAACCAAAATAGTGCTACACTGTTAGAAAAACATGACAATAAGTCGGCAAGAAAAGAGAGACAATTTAGAGAAGCAAGATGAAACACAAAATGTTATTTGTTGAGAGATCAAAGTACTGCAGAATTCATCAGACCTTTATCACATTTTCCAGTATAAAAAACCCCAAGCAAAAAAAAAAAAAAAAAAAAAAATCACTATTGCTGCAAAATTCAGGAGTATACTTACAACCTCTCAAAATACAGCTTTTGATATTTCTGTGATGGCAGACATGAACATGAGGCTGGCATTTTTAAAAGACAACTGAATGGTACTGCTGCCTGTCCAGAGGCACACATGCAACTTGTTGGAATGCTCACTACATTTTATTTAGAGTCCATTTCTTCTACACCACAGTATTAAGGAAGGATGACTATGGACAATTTTGCCCTTTTCAGAGAATAACTAAAGGCTGGGTTTCTAAAAACAGAGCAGAAATTTTTTTTACGTACCACATCATCTACTATTCCTCAGCCTACACACACACACTAATGTTTCCCTTCTCCCCAGCAGAAACAACACTGCGGAAATAAACGCGCTAACACTGATACCTTTGGCATAAATACTCTTGTGGATAATCAGAAATGTTGGACAAGCATTAAAATAAAACATAAAGCAACTGTTTTTACAAACCTAAAGTCATAAGTGCTCCAAGTAAAAGCCATCCAGCTTGAGTCCGCTGCAAGGAGAGCCTGCTGTTTTGTGCAGCAGTTCGTAACAGATCCTCAGCAATACTGACCACCATCTGCCCCAATGACAAAAAAACCAATGGATTTTAAAAATTTAAATTAAGCCACTGCAAGCTACTGCTACACATCCAATCTTAGAGACTATATATAAAGACGTTCTCAAATCATTTACATTGACCTTCTATAAAGAACAAATGCAGATCAGTGTTATGCATATGACAATACAGACAGTAATACTCTCTTCAGCAATTATTCATTATATACGCCAAACACAAATACAGACTTGAAGGAAAGAGGGGGGAACGTTGGTAAATATCACAACTGAAATACTATAAACACACACTCTGGCCACTGCTCTCTGGCTAGGCACAAGTTCAGTTTCAGTAATGCTTTAACTCATTACCATGTCACACATTTTGCAAAGCTATTACTTTTAGACAAAAAGGTATCTTTTTGTACACTCACAGATGAAACACTCATCCTCTCACCTTTCCTTTGGCATGAGGAATACCCAAGGGACACTGATGCACACCACCTAACAAAGCAGCCATCGCAAAACTGTAGCCACTAACAGCTTCAGGGGAGGTCTTCAGATTGTTGAGTCTTTCTGCACATCTATCTAAAAATGGAGTCAACTGAAAAGGCAATGCCACAGCCACACACCGCAAGCACCATGCTGCAGCAAGCCGAGCAGCCATGCTGGGATGAAGAAGAACTGAAGTTACTGTCTCCAAGAGACCTAGAGAAAAGAGAAGTTACAGTCTTAAAGTCATGATGTGTTTTTTTAATATATGTAAACAAGCAAACTGAATCAATATTAGACAGGCAACATGAAAGTTAAGAATGTCAGAATTAAAGTACTTGAATTTTATGACTCTTGTCTTTTTCTTTAAGGAAAGACAGAAGTGTTATTAGCATTATCTATAAGGAAGCAGGCATTGGATGATTCCTACAATCTGCCCATCTTTTACACAGATTGCCAATAACAGAGCAACAGTAAGGCTAATTTTTGGTTTTGCTTCATGTTGTCTACAAGCACATGCTATAGAAGTCACTGACCACTGTACTCTGCTTTTGACAGAGCGCCATCTCCCCTGCACCACCTGACCATCCTTCTACACTTCCCAAACCTCCATACCTAGCTAATCCTGCTTTCCAACTGTGAGCTCTTCAGTCCAACCTGTCTCCGCACCAACACCTTCCTTAGTCTAGACCTCTAACTTTTAACTCCTACATCAAAGCCCCCACTGCTGCCTTATTTCTCGTTTTCTCTGTAGCTAGTGAACAGCTTCTACCTGCTTCCTAGCAGCTAGCAGAAGCAACACTGAGATACAGTCCCCTCTGTTCTTACGGGGCATAGCAGCCAGAAGGAACAAACATGAGCACAGTCTTCCCCACCCCACAGTTGGAGAAAAATCAGTATGAAAAGAATGTCATACGCATCAAAACAAAAATCTACATGATGAAATGTCTAAAGTAGCTTGCATTTACATTGGAAAAAACACAGGCATGCACAAACTGAAAAAACAGAGAACTACAACACTACAATACAAAAGTGGATTTGGATGTTAAAACAAACACGATGAAAATCCCCCACCAACCCTAGTCAACTTGGGCCAAATAACAAGCTTCTTAAAATGGGACTATCCACAATTTCATCTTCTGACAAAATATTCTCAACCTCCCCACAGAAATTTTATATCCGAAGGCAATATTGCTTTCCAGGAGCAAGTATTTCAGACCTTATAGAGCAAAAAAAGTATTCCTATAAAACCATTATTGGAAACAAATCAATGCTAAAATCACTTTACAACTTTACTCACCCTATAAAGAAAGAGCTTCAGGCAGACTTCGATCAAAACAGTTGCTTAATACTTTGTCGAACTTGAACTAAAGTTAAGGTACTCAACACAATGAGTTGGACAAACTCAGGTACCTGGAGTACTACAGGGAGTGCCAGTTTCATCAATTTATTTCCTACATATTCATTTATTATTTAACTAGATTTAACAATACTTCGTACTCACTGCTCAAATGCCTCATTTATTCTATTTAAATCTATTTGCATACCAATCGAGGGTTCTTGAATAAGAGGAGATGCAGTGGCATTCAGACTCTGAACGAGACTACCCAGTTCCTGGAGGGCACACACCATTACATGCTGGCTTGCAGCTACATCAGCAGCTCCCGACTTATTTTCACTGTTCGCATCATTCACTACAGTTTCTGCAGAAAAGAAAACAAAAGTATCTTGCTTAACTACCATTTGAATCACACCTGAACAGGCACAGGATAGAAAAGGACAGTTTTGACACAAACCCTATATTAAAACAAAACCACAAGTTTGGTCACAGTGGGAACTTGCAAAACAAGCACATTCTGAAGAGAAATAGTTTTACAGCTATCAGCCAAACACATTCATCCTAAGACCATGTAAAACTAGCTCTAGCTCAAATTAACTCATTTCATAAGAAACAAATGCCAACACAGTTTTGTCAGCCTCTTAGTGATTACATATATCTGCTAGGTTCTGCAAAGAGACAACATTTATCTTCTCTAACTCCAGCCTTCAGATTACATCTTTGTCACTTGTAATATCTATACTGATATCCAACCGGGTTTTAATAGGGCATCCACAAGGACCTCCAAGATCCTGACCTACAGGATCTTCAACAATAGTGGTAAAGAGGTCTGCGTGACTTTCAATACAACCTGTCCCAAGACAGACTGCAAATGTACACCTTTTTCCCCACCTCCATTCCAAGCAAATGCAGTGTCAAAGGCCACCACAGGATAACAAGCCCGTTTTACACAATCACTTTTCAAGCAGAACTTCTATTTTGCATCTATTTCAAACAGAAAGCAGCTGAATTCTCTTTTACCCTAACAACAAAAAGCTGAAAAATGGCTGACCCGGTAAAATGACAGTAACTTTCAACAGGTCTCAAATAAAGAAAAATTATTCTCACCCACTGCCTTCATTTGTTTACCAATGGCTTGACATATGTCTTTGGCAGCTGCAATCTGTGCTTTCTCTCCAAGTAAGCTGCCCACAGTTGCTCGCAGGATGAAGGACACGCATCTTCGAGAGTAAACTGCCTCCACGTGGGTCTGAGTTGCACGCGGATGGGAGACCAGATCAAGTACGTGCGACAAAAACGTAGCAAAGTTGCGCTCCAGCCACTGACCTCCTAATGTTGTAACGAAGACAACATAGGCCTGCAAATTCAGAAGTTACATAGAGATCCAGTTAAAACAGAAACAGAAGACTATGTTCAGTCACCAAAGACTAAGGACTACAGTTATTCTTTTGTGCTGAAGCAAAACTGTTTCCAGCGCCAAGAGTAGCTCCTATACTGCTACATATACTGTGAAGTTCAAAATACTCCTTGGATGACAGCAAGAAAACCCAGCCCATTGCTCTACATGTGTCTCTTTTTAAAAATTTTAAGAACATCATGTCAATAACAGCAGCAACATGAAGGTGTTCTAACTCACAATGAAGACACTTTTGCTAAGTTCACCTGAAAAAGGCTGAGAAAAATAAAAGGGTTTCAAAAGATACCCTGTGATCAAAAAAATGTGGATTCTGGCAAATAGCTGCAGTGTATCGAAATATACGTCAGAGGGAGAATGTCTGAATTTGAAGAGATGCTGCTGCCACCTTTCTCTATCAGAGAAGCAGAGCTTCTACATTCAGCACATTTCACCTACTCAGAACAGACTTGTGGAGAGAAGAAACAAAGTTTAACAAATCAGGGCTGCAAACTTTACCCAGCAACTTAAGAGAGACAGCACACAAAAGGACAAACGTGCATCCTCTCTAAAAAGAAACAAAACTTAACTAGAGAGCTAAAGTCTTTAACATATTAAGTTTTCACATACTCTTGTGAGCTAATCCCACTAATCAAATAAGCTTTCCTGCGCACATGTTTTAATCTATTGTTACTGCATATCAACAATAAATAAAAGTAGCTTAGGTGATTAACACCTCGTATGTCTCACAAAACAGGCAAGTCAAACTAGACTTGTAAACAAAGAAGGCAAGTGTGTATTTTTACTACTAAAAGGGTTACAGTTATGTATAAATGGTAATTTATTAAAAAAATATTACAGCTTATCACAAACCTGCGTAACACCAACTCGCACTTCCCTATTGACAGATCCTCCTACTTTTAACATCTCTCCACCACTCTTTAGGAAACCAGATCCTCCTCGCAGAAATCCAGTGGCCATGAGCTCCAAGACCTCCTCAAGCGTGGCTCTCTTCACATTCTGTCGCATCACTTTTGCAAAAGGAAAAGTAATCATTCAATCCCAAAGTTCCAACCAATACAAGCAATGATCCTGAAACCAGACTTACAAATTCAAAACTGTCTTGCAAACATAACCTCTAGCCAACATTTCAGGTAACAGTTCCTTTTCATACTTAAAAAATAAGCGACTTTCACAGGCAACTTTTGATAGGTTGTTCTCTCTTTCTTTGTATGATCACAACAAGGAATCTGCACTCCTTACTCTTTTAAGGTTAGAGTTTACAAAACCAAACAATCCAACTACAAGCTTCCATCTACCAGAACAATGTATTGTGCAACACTGTCATGTACCACAGTACCAAAGGTGCAGTTTGTCCACTTGGAAATGGAATCCAGGAGGACTGTACCTGTTGCTTGCTTTGGTATCAGTGCTGTAGCCATGACCGTTCCCAAAAGCTTTGACACTGCAACTCGCACGCCATAGTTGGAGTTTTCCAGAGCTTTAAAGCACAACGTTGCAACATTCTCTAGTTCAGCTGTCCACATAAACACCGCTTCATTCTGTAACTCCAGCAGACACTGTATGAAAAAAGGACTTGCTGAGCACCAACAGAGACCATTCTTACCTTTCATCTAAGTAGCAGTGTAACTGTAAGGTTTATCCAGTAAAAAATTTATTGTGAATATTTTAAGATTTCATTTTCTCCTCCCCACTCTCCCATTTACCCAACAACTTAGCTGACAATCAGAAGACTCATAGAATAGGTTAACACATTAAAAAAAAAAAAGGAAAACACAACAAAATACCTATGTTACCAAAAACCTCTCCCACTGAGGCTCACAGCTAATATATTCTATCTCATTTGTTTACAAAGTGAGGAAAACAGTATTACTGTACCTGCATTTACATGAAATAAGTCAAATGTCTGAGTTTTTGGTGTAAACTGGTAAGGACTTACCTTGCCCAAGTAACTATAAAATTTCTCATCATAAACAACAGGCCACAGGTCAACTGCAGGCACTGCACAGTCAGAGCACAGGAATTGCTAGAACTGATGAGAAACACACCCACCTTAGCCACTGCACATCGTACAGCCATAGATCTGTCCGTCAACAGAGATCGGGCATTCTTATAAATATCACGGTGACAGGAAGCTGCTGCTCCTCCAAGTCCATTCAGGACTTTCTGTAAACTCATCAGAATTTCACTGCGGCCCTGAGACTGCACACACACACACACAAAAAATATTAATGCAAAAATGTGGACACAATACTTATATGAAGAACCAGGTGCAAAATTGTGCATTGTCCTGCTTCTGTGCAGGAATATTTTTTGAAACATTGAGAATACAGCTCACTGAAGTCATACACAACCAATACCTAGCTGGTTTTAGACAGCAGGAAGCACTACACACAGCTTCACTAAAGCTGCCTCAGTTGTCACATAAATTAAGTTGAGCCCAGGCAATCCAACAAATTGGCCCCAGACGAGATGCTTCTGTCCTGCCCCATCACTTATCCTCAGGGAAAAGAAAAAAAAAAAAAAACAAAATAGTTGATATGAGAGAACAATAAGCCCAGGTGAGCAACAGCTTCCTACCGTACCTGCACAGGCAGGAACTTACACTTGGAGGGCACGCACAAAAAAAAAAATCACATGTACAACACCACAGCTGCAGAACACAGCTGCCAGGACAAGATCCACACAATCAGTACTCCTTCCAAGTTGACACAGATGTAAAGAGAAAAAAAAAAAAAAAAAGAAAACAAACAAAAACCCAACAGAGATAATTGTGTCAAATCGGGCACCCTGACAGCCCGGGACATATTCTCTCAATGTTATGACACCCTCTCTCCTTTCAGGGCACAATGTATCCTGCTCACATGCAGAGTAACATCTTTGTTGCAAAACTTAAGGATTTGTTATTCATTTTTAAACACCTGAATGTCTACTCAGGGTACACGAGCAGGAAAGGTAAGGCAGCAGTTAGAAGTGGTACATAGAACCATTTTACAATTTTAATTACTGATGCCACCATGAAGCAACTACTATAATATCCATATGACAAAACTCGAAACTCTCTGCAGTAAAAATACATGCACATGTTTAACTGGGTACTAACTACCTAAGTGATTTTCATTTTTCTACGTAGAAAGCAGACAATCCAAGCACTATGGCGAACACCTTTGGAGGAAGCAAGTTTCAGTTTAAATGGAATCAAGACCACAGATAGAAAATAACCTCAAACCTACCTCTGCACTTTTCAGAGACTTTAAAAGATTATTCACTGTTTCCGGAAAAGAACTACCCAGCATTCGGCCCATTTTTTCATAAAATGCTCCAATACATGCCACAGCAGCCCTACGAAAAAAGCAGCTTCAGTATCTGCCCAAATGGCGACTATTTCAGATTTTATTGTTAAATCCTATCATTATGATAATGTCTGAAGGTAAGCCCAAACTAGAGCTCACTAGACGCTGATAACACATGAAGCAGTTATGTGTGGGAGAGTCCTAAAAACAGTTTGAGCAGAGGCGCTGTGTGGCATTAACCAAATTCTTCGCAATGAGACTGCTCCTGTGTATGAAGAGGAACTGGATCACACATAATGCACACAAACATCCCAGTACACAGACTCCGAGAAGCTTGTGTGGTGTATCACAGTAGAGGAATATAAACCAGCAATGCTTGAATGGAAAAAAAACCTTGGAATATTTGGTCAAAATTCTCTTGGCACAGGTAATGCTCGTTTCACAATCTGCACATTCCACCTTAAATGGGGTATCTGAGCACAATCAGCAATGAGCCCACTGGTGGAATTTTTTTGTTGCATTACTTCATCAGTTGCTATCCTCTCCATGGCATAAGCATATGAAGAAACATTAGATACTCCCTTACCCAGAGGAAAGCATCTCAGTTTCAAACAGCCATGTATGTGCCACCTTTGAGTCCTGCCCTCCACAATCTCAATCCTGCTCTTTGCTATATCGAGCGTACGTAAACTCCAACTAAGCGTGCAAAATAAAAGCAAACATAACGTGCACATGTACAGGCAGATTCTTCTGTAAGACCCAGGACTGCTTTGCTTAAAAATCATTCCCTTTTACTTAATAATAATATTAAACATACAGTTTCGTGGGCAGGTAGGCTGCAGTATCATCTTTGCTCTTGATGATGTCGTTACATTTGTCAAGCGTCTGAAAAACAGTAAACGTGTCTCCAGTGCTGTAGAGAGCAGCAAGATTTTTTGCCAGTAGTTTTCGTGTAGGTGGCCCAGGGGAACTGCTGATGAGTCCTGTCAGCTGTTCTACAAGTTTCTTCTGTTTTTCCTTGACATCTGTCTGTTAGTGGACCAAAAATAAATAAGAAAAGTCACTTAATCCTGTGTCTTGCACGCAACACCCAGAAAAACCTACAAGAGCACAGTAAATCTTACACCATTCCCACTTGGGTGTAATTCAGCAAACTGCTTGTCTCACTGAGATTTGAGATACATTCAGTAACAGCAGAGACAGATGTTAAAAGTTCAGAATTGGCTGCTACCCTATCTAATTTTCACTTTTTAAATACTCAATAAAAATACAGTCATTCCTGCCTTGAGTATCTTTTAATCCTTGTTACCATCAAGAATTTCTACTTTGAGGGGGAACGTTTTGCCTTTCAAATATTTACAACAAAGAAGAACTCAAATCAAGCTATGTGTTACGTAATAGTCATACTGACTGCCTACAATTAAACACTCAAAAGCTACAAAGTAATGCAGAGGCTCTTCAGGCTGAATCTGAAATCATACAGTTATCACCTGGCCATTACCTGTCAACCTTCTCTAGCATGAAATTAATACAAAAGCTCTAGAAAGAAAGGCAGGGAAAAAAAATTAAGTTACCTTGTTAGCAGCTACCAGGACTTTATCCAAAAATCTTAACCACTCAAAGATAAAGACAGGTCTCTTTGCTTCTGTGATTTGAGCTAATGCTTCCTCATTCAGTAACAAACTATGAGCCAGCTCCATAACTGGTTAAATTCCGGTTTTATTGTGAACTTGTGTAGCAACTCTAAAATAAAAATGTAAATATTAGTATAAAGTAGAGTACAACAGTACAAAGCTTTGAAAATCAAATGAAAACATGAAGATGAAATCTATAGATTACAGTATCATGGTTCTAGCCTGCTTAGACTTGTCTTAGCTAAGCCGTCCAACATAAGAACTACTCACACAGTTCCAACTGAGTATATCCATTAGTATTTCAGGGAACAGAGCTGTTACTTGTAAAAAAGGGACCTAGAGGCAACTTCAGGGTGCTAACTCTTAGCCAAGAAAAATATACTGAAGTCCTTGTTTAAAGAAAAAAAAAAACACAAAACCAACATGTAAAAAAGATAAAGGAGCCATGTCACTCTCTCCTCTTACATAACACAGAACAAGGACTGTCCCTTGACCACACTCCCAAAGCTTGGGTATGAACCTGGCCACCTTCTCAACATCTTCAACAGACAAGGCGAGAAGGAGATGAGGCTATCACAAGTAGGATCTTCCACCCATCACGAATGCGAGAGCAGCAGGAACAGAGACAGCATTTAGCATCACTGACCTGAGACCGCCCAGACCTCGCTCTAAGAGCTGGACAAACAAGCCCTCTGCACAAAGGTGACAGCCTGGGAATACAGGCAGTGGCCAAATGACTGCAAGTCTCCCCATCAGGCAAAATACCACTGATCAAACACCAGCAGCCCTGCCCAAACACTGAATGCAGGGCACCACAAGCACACTGTCAGTGTAAACAAACACTCCACAGACAACTTAACCTTAGCAAACCACATTTAAACAAAGCGTAGCTGGTAAATGCAGAACAGTCAGAACAAAACTTTATCTAAAAATCATAAAATAAAACCAACCATCTTCAGCAACAAACCCAGAAAGAAAAAAAAAAAAAATCCCCAAACTTGAATGCAGTGATGCTGAAACTAGGATCTCAGGCAAAACAGAAAAAGCAAAGCAGCTAAAGGAACGTTATGTAAGCCATCAGCTTTGACAGCTGCACCATTCTCCTTGTGCTCTCAAGTGCTCACAGCTGCTTCCTCATTCGTGATCTAAACCCAACAAATTCTTTAAGTCCAATGAAGTGATTTAAATTAAATAATTTTAGGGTTGTTTTTTTTTTTTTAAAAAAAAAGGTCTCCAGATTAGAGAGTAGAAGGATGACATATTAACACTACAACTGTATTATGGTTCTAAATTCACCCGAACAATTGGGTGCTGATGAAGCTAAAGCACCACAGTGTCTGCAGCACTCAGCTCGCTCCCTGCTCTTTGGCACTCTGCAGAACAGTATTTTTCACTGCACACATCTCCAGCCACAGATCAGCAAAGACTGAAAAGCCACATACGGAAGGAAGCATATACATCCCTCCCCCTCACACCTTTCCAAAGACTTCTGGCTCTTCTGGGTTTAAGTTACAAAGAATTGAAAGGGCAATGCCTGTCAGTAATGCACAGATACATTGCCCCAAAACATCTTTACACGAGAGCAAAGCGATGAATGACAACACTGTGACACTCTGGGTGTCATCGCAGAGATCCCCACTCCTCCTCACACCCGCACAGGAGCAGGGCCCCGGTCATTCATCCCTTGTCCCCTGGCCTTTAGAGCCACGAACCCCTCCTCCCAAGCCCTCCACACTCCCTCACCTCTTCAGCTGAATTTAGGAAATAGGAGCTCTGTGCCCCCAAACCTGCACACCCTTTCAGCTGTGCCACTGACGCTCAGATACAAGAACAATTCCCAGAATAACGCCGAAAACTCGCA